GGGACTGATGTTCATAGTATTATTATTACCCAATTTATCCTAAACTAATATGAGAGGGGAAGGCCCTATTAGACATGTGAAGGGCTCCCACACACCCTTTTACTAGTTCTGTTCATGGGCAAAAGAGAGCAAGTCAATCTGTATGCTATTACATGGCAATTTCTTGTGGACATTCGGGTGTCCCCCAAAAAAGACACAATGATGCAGCAGCTATACAATACAGCAGGTGAAACCATACAATACAGCAGGGGATGCAATTTTAAACACATCTTGAAGTAGTTGATACCAGTAGTGGCCACAAATCTTGAATATCGATGGTTGTTGCCAATTAGAAGTCTTCTTTTCGAGGCTGATTGTAGGGCAATTTTTGCTTTAAGATTTCTTACATAAGCCCAGTTATGACTGGTTTTCTTTAAAAAGTGTATATTAGGAATATAATATTAATCAGTTTCTTCTGATTTTTCCCTCTCATGAGTACATAGCACATGCTACATCCTTTTACTTTTTGCTGGTAAGGATTGTGAACTTGGTTATAGAACCAATATTTTGTGTATTTCCGATGTGCCATGTGTTTATAAAATTTGCATTGTGCCATGGAACGTGTCCACCCGCAATCAATGCTAGAACATATTGTCCTGTAAATCTGTGAATAGCAAAGAGTGACTTGCCATTTGAGTCGTGACACCATCCAGGAAAGCCGCTAACACATTTAGGAACTATCTTGCTATCACAAGCCATCTGCACATTTACAGTACAGTGAGGCAGAGAGATTGCCTTTCTGTGCTGAGCAGATTGAGATGACCAAAGTAGTATGATTGAAATCTGTATTTGCAGTCTTTAAACTGTTGAGTTCTGTGATTTTTTTTTAACCATTTAACCGTTTTATTACTTTGATTATATAAATTGTAAAATCCTTCTATGCCCAATTAGAAAAACAGCATTACCGGTATATCCTTTTTAATGTTATCGCGTTAGACTGAACTCCCAGAAAACTGCAAAATACACAGACAAAAAACAGCCCCTTTTGCTGCTAAAACAGCTCTGACCCATCGAGGTATAGACACCACTAGACCTCTGAAGGTATGCTGTTGTATCTGGCACTAAGCTAACAGTAGCAGATCCTTTAACCACTTGCCCTCCAGAGGATTTACCCCCTCTTCCTTAACAGGCCATTTTTTGTGTTATGGCTCTGCGTTACTTTAACTGACAATTTTTATTTTTTGCGCTATAAGCAACAAAAGCGACAATTTTTAGGAAAAAACAATATTTTGGACTTTTTGCTATTAAAATGTCCAGTAAAAAAATTTAAAAAATCAAATTTAGTCATACATTTAGGCCAAAATGTATTCTGCTACATGTCTTTGCTAAAAAAAAAAATCCCAATACGTGTAAATTAATTGGTTAATGTGAAAGTTAGAATGTTTACAAATGGCGGTATAGATACTGGGATTGTTTTCTCCTACTAGTAATGGCGGCGATCAGCGACTTTTAGCAGGACTACGGGACTGCGCTGGGCATTCTGACACTGGGGGGAACTAACTTGGTGTCACTGACATCCCCAGTGACACCAATACAGTGATCAGTGCTAAAAAAACAGCACTGACACTGTACTAATGACACTGGGCAGGAAGGGGTTAATGTGAGGGGCGATCAAAGGGTTAACTGTGTGTAGGGAGTGTTTTACTAGGGGGCGGGGGGTATGTGTTGCACTGTAAGCACACTGCTGTGGAAAGCAGTGTGCTCAATCTGACAGGGAGGAGGACTGTTAGTAAACAAAGCAGTCCTCCTCCCCATCAGAGATGCTCGGTAATCACCGGGCGGCAGCGGGGAATCACCGGACGGGGCCCGGTGATTGACAGCTGTGGCCACAAATGCAGCCCAGAAATACAAAAGCACATATATATATATATACATATATATATACACACACACACACACAACACAGCCATCCCAAGCAGTGTGCCCGAGCTGACATGGAGGGAGTAAACAAAACAGTCTTCCTCCTCGTTAGTGATTGTCAGTAATCACCCGGTGGAGGCAGGTAATATCCAGCCGGGACCCAGTGATTGACATCCGCGGCCGTGATTGGCGGCGTGGGTAGGGCACGCGTGCGCCCCCTGCCCGTATATATACGTGATTTTGCACACCCGTGCCACTGTGTAGCAGTATACCTGATATACAGCGGTGGGTAAGCTGGTTAAAGTGGAGGTTCAGTCAAAAGCTAACTATTATTAGGCTAATAGCTAGTTCATATGATAAGAAAATTGGACAAAAATACTGCTTTCGACGTGATCGTGCGATAATCCGATCGTTAGTACACAGCTTTCAAGCGCCAATTACAACAGTTCATGCAACATTATCCAAAGGGACAAGCACAAAAATATTTTTGTCTGAAAAAAATTGGAAGACCACGACCATCCATGCTCAGAAACAAAAAAGAATACATTACATCACTTCCACAGTTGTATTCTGCTGTAGTGGGCTGCTGACAAAAGAGAAGGGGCTACAAACAGCTAGGGATTTATAGAGCAGTCTTTCTCAAACAGGGTGCCCAGGCACCCTGGGGTGCCTTGAGGTTTCTTCAGGGGTGCCTTGGCAAAATGTCTACAAATTACCCAAGGCTTATACAATGTATACAATCCAGCACGTGGAACTAGCCTGCCTTTTAGTTACACAATGCCACGGGTTTTCATTGTGCACCATTACGACCTTCTAGCCGGCAGCCTGACAACCAATGACATCATCGTTGATGAGGAGGATGTTGGTTGCCTGCACAGCATCCTTGTTTGCCCCTCTCCATCAGTGCTGGGATCACATTAGGTCAGTGATGGAGAAAAACTGAGGGAGAAGAGAAACACTGGAATACTAGTCAGTACCAGTGTGCAAAAGTGTATTTGCTTTGGAAGAATAAATCACCTCTAAAGTTGGGTGTCCTACATGTGTAGATGTTGTTGTGTTATATAAAACTATCAGAATAGTTTTTCACATTTTAGAATGGGGTGCGATTTTAAAATTTTAGACAATCTAGAGCAGGGGTTCTCAAACTACGACTCACAGGGGGGAAGAAAAAAAAAAAAACCGTGCTGGCCGGCAAATAGCTAGGCTGCTCGCTGGGTCCTCGGCCGCAAGGGCCCAGCGAGCGGCAGCCTGCAAGCCCTGGATTTCACCTGCTGCAGCCAGAGGAGCAACAGGAGAGGAAAGGAGGAGAGCACACCAGGCACAGTGCATTGCGGTGGCCAGTGTATCAGAGTACAGTGCATTTTGTTGCCCAGTGTGTTACAGAGTACAGTGCATTGCGGTGTTCAGTGTATCAGAGTACAGTGCATTTTGTTGCCCAGTGTGTTACAGAGTACAGTGCACTGCGGGGTCCAGTGCGTTACAGAGTACGGTGCATTGCGGTGTCCAGTGTGTTACAGTGCATGGCAGTGCCAAGTGGGTTACAGAGTACAGTACATGGGGGTGCCAAGTGCGTTACAGAGTACAGTGCATTGCGTTGTCCAGTGTTACAGTGTATTTTGTTGTCCAGTGCGTTACAGTGTACTGCAGTGTCCAGTGTGTTACAGAGTACAGTGCATTGCGGTGTCCAGTATGTTACAGTGTATTTTGTTGTCCAGTGTGTTACAGTGTACTGCAGTGTCCAGTGTGTTACAGAGTACAGTGCATTGCGGTGTCCAGTGTGTTACAGAGTACAGTGCATTGCGGTGTCCAGTGTGTTACAGAGTACAGTGCATTGCGGTGTCCAGTGTGTTACTGAGTACAGTGCATTGTGGTGTACAGTGCATAGCAGTGCCAAGTGGGTTACAGAGTACAGTGCATTGCAATGTCCAGTGTGTTACAGTGTCCAGTGCGTTAGTGTCCAGTTCATTACAATGTACAGTGCATTGCGGTGTCCAGTGCGTTACAGTGTACAATGCATGGCAGTGCCAAGTGCGTTACAGTGCATTTTAAATATTGTATTATTTTTTTTTCCTGTTTTTTGCACTACAAATAAGATATGTGCAGTGTGCATAGGAATTTGTTCATATTTTTTTCAAACTATAGTCCGGCCCCCCAACAGTGTGAAGGTCTGTGAACTGGCCCCATTTAAAAAGTTTGAGGACCCCTGATCTAGAGAATGGGGTGACTCAAGACTGTCCATAATTTTAAAAAGGTGCCTTGACTGAAAAAAGGTTGAGAAACACTGAGCTAGAGAACCATGACATGAGAGAGTTACACTGGTAATCAATCAGTCATGTGCTGGGACTTGTCATTTATGATCAATGCCTCTTTTATTGTTCAGCACTGCACATCTATACAGGAGCAATGTTTGCTGCTGTTCTTTTTAAAGTTTAAGTCTGAAATGGTATGACCCACGAAGTTTAAACAGAGCCACATGTGAGGGTCAGAAATAAGTTAGCATTAGCAAAAAAATAGAAGACACTCCAAACTTACTGTAATATTAGTTTATTAACAGTTGTGTAACATAAAATAGAACGTATCATAAATATGAATTCACAGTTATGTAAAAGGGTATGTCCATTGAAAACGGATTCTTTATTGGGCAGATGCCTGCTCAACAAATCATCCACGGACTTATTTAGTGTCCTTGAGAACCAAGCTGTGCTCCTCCATTCTAGAGTCTCACTCCTCCTGTCACCTTATTCAGAATGTAACGTTAGCTAAAAACCCAACAGGCAGTTTGAGAGTGTTTAGTAACGGAGCTCCAGAGTAGAGATCTTGCGGTCATAAGAGACTTTAGAAGCCAGCGTGTGATTTCACTGACCACCATCTACCTACAAATAGCTTTAGATGAACCAACCCTTTCACAATAGATTCCGTTTATGTAGCCATCCAAAACACATTTCATAAGCCTCAACGGATTGCAGACTTTTGCATCACCCCTCCAGTTGACATCCAGCGTAGTGTTTCTTGTAGTTTGTTAGATGAATATGACATTTACAATGACACAAATGTAGCTGGTAGCTGCAAACATGGCTTTTAACATTTCTAATCTAGACTAATCACTCCGATGACGCTTGTTTTAAATAGGCTATTAGATCCAAGCGTTCATTCTTCTTCTTAATCCCAGCGAATATCATCTTGGTTCCGGGTATATATTTTTTTGGGTTTTCCAGATATTCTAGCAAAGTATCCTCTCCCCACACAATACCTGTAAAAAGAAAATAATAATCCATTAGCATTGTTTGTTGTCCATTGTCACAGATCTGAAGTTTTGATCCTAGGTCAGAATTCATTCCATAGCTAAGAATCTCTAAGACCCAATTTTTAACTTTAAGTAGGGTACTGAAACTTCAAGAGCTTTATTTCTCAATGTTATGCCCAACTGTTGATGTTTTTTCCTTAAAGATTTCCCATCAAGTGTGGCGAGGTACTGGGGGGAGAGATGTGGGATCCATAGAGGAAGATCAGTGAGAGGTGGCCGTACAAGCTGCCCAACAATGCTCTCAGTGTTACAAAGCAACTTTCCCAATTAGACATACTTATGTGATCCCACTATACTGCTGCAAAACTATTCAAAATGGGGATTCTGGATAATATAACGTGTGGCAGATGTTGCAGGGACCATGGAGACTTGATCCACTGACTCTGGCACTGCCCCAATCTACGCATATACTGGAGAGGGTTGGTGGACGCCTTAAACAAGGTGTTCCAAGCCTCTGTTCAAATCCTAAAAAATGCATACTGGGTGTTTTAGACTCACTTTGCAAGAGCTAAATAGAGGGGCCATCTCAAAGGCATTGTTCCTAGCTCATAAACTTATTCTGCTTTGTTTGAAGTCAGCAACACCTCCTATGGTTAAGACATGGATACCCCATGTTGGAGATACACTTATGAATGAATGCCTAATTTACCAACATGGGGGTTGGATAAATTTGAAAAACTTTGTGAGCCCTGGCTTGACATACCTGGGTTGTGCCCTCTGTATTTAGTCTGAGGTAGAATGATTACTGAAGAGGGGAGAGGGATTTAACTACTTTAACCTCCAGGCGGGCTGATTATGTCAGTATTTCTGTGCTCAAAGCGGTACTTTTTTTGCATGGAAGTATGCTGTTTTTTATTGTAGGCCTGTAATTTTTAGGAATAACTCACTGATATCTGTCCGAACAAGAGTCTAGTAAACATCCCGGGTATGATAAAATTTGAAACAAAATCATAAATTATAATAGAATAAATAATCATAAAAAATAGTAATAATAATTCAATAATATAATCAAACCAAAAACACTGAAATTTGAAATATTTCGCCAAGTTTGCACATCGCTGATCTTAGTCGCAGAATGGTTTTTAGTGTCTGATGACGAATTGCCCCACGAATCATTATCACTCAATTCTGCAAGTGGTTCTAGTTTACTATCGCGGTTTTCTAGCTGGTCTAAAACCGATTTTGACATAAAAGGGACGCTTTTTGGACGCCATGGACTTCTCAGTTTCCAGGCAGAAAGAAGAGTAAAAATGCAGGCAGGGCACAGGACAAAGCATTAGGGACAAAATGTGAAATGGTTTGATACAGTAATGTTTTACTATGATTTTAGTGTTTTTTGTGAACGTCACTTTTTAAAAGTTTTAAATTCCCCGCCAGTTCCGGCCCCCGTACGTCCCGACGCTCGCAGGGACCGGAACCCGGATGCTGGCATTGGCCGGAGGAGATGGCTGGGGACGCTGCAGGGGGGGACATCGCGGGAGCGCAGGACAAGGTAAGTGAAACAGAGATCCCAGAGCAACGCTGCATGGTATTCCTGAGTGTAGCTCGGGGTTACCGCTTTTGGCACGATAATTAACTCCGAGCTACACTCGGGAATACAACCAAGGAGGTTAAGGGCCGACGCGCACTACATAAATGCAGTCCAGATGCATGCGCTTTTTTTTTTTTTTTTTTTTTTTTACACATTCCATTCCAGTTCATTTTTTAACTCTCTCTTTTTCTTCAATTTAAATAGGGACATGTGCGTGCCAGTGCATTTTACCACATTCCAGTACAGTGTTGTGCAGAAAAAATGCTCTACTTTTTTTCTGCAACCGAAATGCACTGGAACTGCAAGCACTGATGTGAACTAGGACAATGACAACCATATAACCTACTCTGTTTTGGATGCAGAAAAAAAAAAAAAGCAACTGAAAACGCATGTAGTGTGAACTGGCCCTAAGATATGTAAAAATCAGTATTTTTTGCTAGAACATTTCTTAGAACCCCCAAAAATCATATATTTCTTTAAAGCAGAGGCCCTAGAGAATAAATTGGTGGGTGTTGCAATTTTTTTTTTTATGTCCCACGGTATTTGTGCAGTGCTTTTCAAATACAATTTTTTAAAAAGACAAAAAACACACTTTTTTGAATTTTACTGCACAAAAACACAATACAATGCCCAATTGTTTGGTAAAATATAAAAAGGATGATGTTATGCCAAGTAAATAGATACTAAACATGTCACGCTTTAAAATTGTGCATGCCGGTGACAAATGGCGTACATTTTACTATCTATAGGCAATGCTTTAAAAGCCTTTACAAGTTATCATTTAGATTTACATAGGACGTCTGGTGCTAGAATTACTGCCCACAGTCTGATGTTTGTGGTGATACCTCGCACATGTGGGACAATCGCTGTTTGCGCACGTGCGGGACAGACGTGTGCGGTCGCCTTTGTGTGTGAGCACGGGAAGACAGGGGCGCTAAAAAAAAAAAAAAAATTTTTTAATCTTTACATTGTGGTTTTAATTTTTTTTATCACTTTTATTGTTATGACAGGGAATATAAATATCCCCTGTGCTAGCAATACGCAGGGACAGGTACTCTATATGGAGAGATCTGGGGGTCTATAAGACCCCAGAAGTCTCTTGTGCCCTTAAAAGCATTTGATCACACCATGATGGGTGAGATCAAATGATTCTCCTTTTTAAAAAGTGTTCCGTTTACATACAGGGAAACCGGAAGTGATGTATGCTCATTGCATTCGGGTTCCTATATGATAGAGGTAATCAGAGCCATTCAGATTGTCTCTGTGATCAATCGGCGGAAGCGCTGGCTGGTCACTCAGATTTCCTGGTGGGATGGAGAGCCGGAGAAAGCAATAGAAGGCAGTGGGAAACGTGCCCTTCTACTGCTTGTAATAACGATTCAGAGGCTAATTAGCCACTCGGATTGGTTTTACAAAAAAGCTGACCATCTGCCGTACACACAAAAAAAAAAAATAAAGGAAACCAGGATAATGTCTGCAGCTGCTTTACGAGTACGTCACTGGAGCTGAAGTGCTGAAGTGGATAGGGAGCTCTGTACTGCAGCAGACAACTAATCAATTCACACACTTGTTTGGTACCTTCATGAATTCAAGATACTGTTTACTGTTCTTTATCTGCTTGGAGAACAGTATGTCCTATATGTACTATGATGCAATGTGATTTTCTTGCTCTGGAAAGGTTTACGCTTAAAGTTTTTCTGTTTGATTAAAAAAAAAAAAAAAAAAAATCTCTAAGACAAAAAAAAAAAAAAAAAAAAAAAAAAAAAAAAAAAAAAAAAAGCTAGAAAGCTTACATCGCAATCATCCCAAATAATTTTGTTTACACATTATGATTTTTTAAGTCATTAGAACTGGTAAAAAGAAAAAAAGTTATGTGTAAGGGCTCTTTTTTGCATAGCATCAAACAAAATGCTTCATATGGTATAATAAACAGAACAAAAAGGGAGCAAATAAGAGAAGCTCATTGTTAAGGTTTACACACACTTTAAAGGGGGGAGGACGATCTAGGCAAGAAGGATAAATGCACTATCTGTGAAAGTATATAGTTATCTTTTAAATAGGATCTGCATGCATTAGAGTGCCCTCAAAGATGCAAATCCCTGCCCTCAAAGAGCAACATGAATGGCATCAGGAAAGATTGTCCTATTGCCATTTATAATGATTGCTAGGCTGAAGTCAAACTGACAACAAATAAATAGTTTTCTAAGTGGCATTCTTATCCAAAAAGAAGTCAAATTGATTTTACCAGTAGGTGGTGCTATGTGCCATTGGATATTGTGGCTCCACGTTTACAGAGATCTGGGGAGCTGTTAATAGCAGGGATACCTCTGTACAAGTACAAAAGAGAAGCCTACATTTCCTCCCTACAATCCTACGTCTTCAAAGTTAAAGCTGAACTCAAGCATGAAGATTTTCATTAGGGGCAGGTTCACACTATGAATCGAACAGGAACGCGCTGTGCGTTCCTGTGTGATTCACATGTAATCCGGGTGCAGTGAGATTTCAGCCCATTGTGCTGGATCACAGCAAAAGTAGTTCATGCACTACTTTACAAAATGCAGAGCAACAGCATTGCATAGTACTTCTGAACCGTGTGATCTGGCGCAGGCAAACACACTGCGTTTGGTGTGCCATTAGCATTAAGGACACCCGCTGCAGATTGCAAGGGCAGTGCGTTTTGAATGCGGTACGGGATATGCACAGGAATGCAGGTTTCCTGCACCACGTTCAGGTGTTGTGGGGATATAGACACTAACAGCAACTTCTGGACCATGGTAGCCAATTGTTTTCTATGGCTTGTCCTTCAGCAAAAGCTGTCCAGCCACGTTTATTGCATTGTACATAAAAAATGCACTACATCAAATGCAGCAATGTGAGTGTGGCTTGAAATGTATGTAAAGGAAAAAATTTATAATTTTTGGAAAAAGTGGGGAAGCGTTAGATCACTGCTAAGCATTTATTGCTGTGTCCTTACTGGGCGAATCATTTGTCCTGGTGACCAAGAAACAGATAAGTGGAAATCCTTTGTCAAGGAGACAAAACATAAAAGGGAAATACTACATTTTAAAGTCTTCTGGGGACAAATTTGTTGATGACAACTCCCTAAGATGTGAGTTTCCCTCACTGTAGGGAGATTTCATCTCACAAAAGACAGGGATTGAAGGGAACGCTTCCCAGAAGACCTTAAAAAGTCCCTGCTGGGGTTTTAACCTTTCCCTAAAGTTTGGGCACTTTAAAGGATAAGTCTACTTAAAAAAAAAAAATAATAAAAATAAAAATAAATATTATATATATATATATATATATATATATATATATATATATATATATATATATATATATATATATATATATATATATATATATATATATATATATATATATATATATATACACACACACATACATACATACA